CCACTAATTTAAACTATCTCTTGATTGCTTATAATATCTAACGCAACATAAATGCTATGAATGTAAGTAGTCATATACGATGATATACAGGGGATAAGAAAAATGTCTTGTGTTTAGTACAGATGCAACCATGGTCGGCCTAGCTAACCATCAGCAGCAAAGTAACTTAAAACAAGTTGGGAAATATTATGCAAAACCTGTGGATATACAGGCCAACTCTGCACCTACTTTATGCATTTATGCATTCCTTTGGCCTTACGAGCATTATGTATTAAACATAAAGATGTTTGATAAGTGAGGTCATGACAGTAACTTCTTCCTCTGTGGGTTGGAATGCACGGAAGTAATTCACCACCACCACCACCCCTCCTCTCACCGACCCCCCCCCCCCCCCCCCGCACCCACTGGCCCTTCACCCCATTTTGATGGGCAGGTTGCTGCTTAGCCAGTTACCTAACGCTCTTGAGGACTCTAGCAGTCTTCAGCTGGGACTTATGGACCTTCAAGGAATCTGTGAGCCAATCCTCTGAAATGAGCAAAAGTCTGTATGTACCTCTCTCCACCCCCCCCCCCCCCCCCCCCGGCCCGGCCCGAGTGAGTTCATAAAGCTTTTATCAAAAAGGGGTGACCCCAACGAAGGTTAAGAGTAGCTTTGTTCTCTGCACTGAACTCTATCGCAGCAATACAGTTATTCACAAAGGAGAATACTGGCTTAAAGCAATGGCTGGGGATTGACTGGCTGGAATTATAAGGTGGGGAGCCTCCCTAAGTCAACTAATGTGATTGGCTGGCTGGGGAGGGGGTGGAAAAGGCTTTCAAACGAGAACAAAGTCAGAGCAAGATAAAAAGTCAAAAACAGACCCAGAGAAAGAGAAGCAGCGATCAGACTCTCAAACCTCAGAAGGAAGGTAGGGGAGGGTGGGGGTAAAGGGGAAAGATCAATCAAAGGGCTTGTGTGCATGCATATGAGCCTAACCAGTGGTCACTTTCCTCAGGTGTCCATATCCATGGACACATGGACAATGGGGGATGAGGACAATTATGTGATACCATAATCAATAATAAAAAATAAATAAATAAAAATTTATATATATATATATATATATATATATATATATATATATATATATATATATATATAAAGTCTGCTCACCTTAGCAGGGGTGGCTTTTACTGTCACAAAGGAAAAAAAATGAGGCCTCCTTGCTTGATACTTACCAGGTGGTACGTGCTAACTTATGCATCTTAACCAGCAGTAGGGGCTTATCATAAATTCCCAACGTACGGTACACTTTCCCCTGACCCTGTTTGCCTGGCCTCCAAGTTTGGAGTGGAGCTGGCTGTTTGCCTTTTACTCAGAATTCAATGCAGAGGTCTTCTCTTTCTGGGCGTGATTCACCTTGAGGCACATGGATTCACACCTGCCCATATCCAGGGGCTGTTTGCACAGATTGTGTGTAATGTGAGTGGTGCCTGGGCTGTGCAACTTGGTGACTTTTCTTTATTCTTCTTTCTCTTTTCCTTTTCTTCTCCAACTCCTCCTCCTCCTCCTCCTCCTCCTCCTCCTCCTCCTCCTCCTCCTCCTCCTTCTTTTTAAATGTCTTTTTTCTTCTTTTGTTTTGGTCTCTTCACTGTTGACTGTGTTTTGCAGGCATCAAATCCAACCCCCTTATACTTGTCATCACATCTGTGGCTGCCACTGCTGCTTCCAGCACCATCTCATCTGTTTTTACTTATCACCTCTAACTCCTGTCACTTTCCTCACACTTCTATCTTCTGTTAGGAAAGGACTGGACAGCCCCTAAAGGATGCATTGCCCCCTGAGGTGTGAAAATGCTAATCTCCTAGCTTTGGGTGCATGCTTTCCACAAGGAGTCATCCAGTTTTATTGGGGGGCTTCCACGCCACTGTCACATAAATTGTATATGTGTTTGAGTGGAGTTAGAGGGGGAAGGTTTTTTTCCTCTCTCTGCTTTGTTTTGTGCTGGTTATGATGCTTTTCAGGTAAGTTTAGGTCAGGGGGTCTCAGCCTGGGTCATCTAGGCAGCTTCTAAAATTCCTAACGCCCAGGGGACCCTCCAGAATAATAAAATCATCTGGAATGGGACCGCTTCATTATTATTATTTTTAGATATGGTTTCATTGATATCAGAGAGGAAGGGAGAAGAAGAGAGAGAAAGAAACATTAATGAAAAGAGAGAATCACTGATCAGCTGCCTCCTACACGCGCCCTTCTTGGGATCGAGCCTGAAACCTGGGCATGTGCCCTGATTGAGAATCAAATAGTGACCTCCTGGTTCATGGCTCAACACTCAACCACTGACCTACACCAGCCGGGCATTATTTTTTTTTAATGTTCCCAGGTGATGGATTCTAACATGCCCCCAAGTGGATAGCCACTAATCTAGGCTAACATCCTAATGTCATGGGAGGCTGAATTCCAAGTCAAGGGAAGCTTGATTTTATAGCTAAAAACAATAAGGCTTCCTCACAAATAGATACTTATCTTACAGAAACTCTATTAAAAAGAAATCCAATACACCAAAACACGGCCTACTTTTTTCCCCTTTGCTTTGCCCATGCCTTGTGGGGAAACCTAAAGGGTTAAACTGATTGTTTCACAAATGGGTCCAAATCTAATGATTGCAGAAAAGAAAAAAAAAAAATAAAAAAAATAAAATAAAATATATATATATATATATATACACACACACACACACACAAACACACACACACTTATTGCTGCTTTCGTTCCAAATTTAACGCAGGGTTCAGAGAGCACTTCGGCCTGTATTTTTAGCTAAGCATAGAGAATTTCAAAATAGTTTACCTAAAAATACACTTCCTGAAGTGAACTTGAAGCCTGGGAGGGATGAATGGGTTTATTTTTTCTTCTATATTTAATGTCACCACAAGAAAGCAAACCTTGAATTTATATACGTCTATATTTTTAGAGACCCAGGAAACAGGTGCTATGTCCAAGGGCTGAGTGGCAAAGTGTCAGTGACAGAAATCTGGTTTCACGGACATGGACTGTGGGAGGGCGTGGAGACTGCTTCTCCGGGTTTAGGCAGGAGCATACTTAACAAGAGGAGGTGGTGAGGAGGCTTTTCCAGGCGTGACCCCTGGGAGAAGCACACCTCCCACCTTCTTAACCAGCAAGGAGTGGTTAGTGCCACACCTGGTCTAGATCAGCAGTCGCCAACCTTTCGGACCTCACTGACCACCAGTGGTCTGCGGACCACCAGTTGGTGACTTCTGGTCTAGGTACTTGATCTTCCTTAGTGTCTTGAAGTTCAGGTTGGTTGACCAAATGCCTTCTAGCCTTGTTTCACTCACTCTCCAAATGCATACCTTTAATTACCTTCACTGCCAATAGAAATGGATTTCTTTGAGAAAAATTCTGGGGAAGTAGAGTGTTATACATTATTGGCTCTCAGCATGCAATGTGTGGGTTGCAAAGGATAATCTGCCTTCAGTGTGTGATTGGTGGATGTGAATGGATATTGCATTTATAATCACGCACCCCCTAATATGGGGGGAAGAAGTTCTATATTCTTTCCCTCTCGGTATGAAGGACCAAATGCAAACTTCTGATATTCATTTCTTTATGTATTCATCTCTTCACTAATTATTTAATAAGTCTTTTTAAATATCTTCCATGTGACAGGCCCTCTTCTTAGCAGAGTACATAACCAGACAGATAAAGTCTCACAGAGCTTGCCTTTTGGTGGCTAGATTATAAGCATGTAAGTGACCAAGTTGGATTGCAAGAGATAAAATGGAATCTGGCCGAAACCGGTTTGGCTCAGTGGATAGAGCGTCGGTCTGAGGACTGAAAGGTCCCTGGTTCAATTCCAGTCAAGGGCATGTACATTGGTTGCGGGCACATTCCCAGTGGGGGATGTGCAGGAGGTGGCTGGTCGATGTTTCTCTCTCATCGACGTTTCTAGCTCTCTATCCCTCTTCCTTCCTCTCTGTAGAAAAATCAATAAAATATATAAAAACAAAACAAAACGGAGTCTGGTTCTTGTTACTTGGGGGCTGCTATAAATGAAGAGCTCTTATTTAACCAGAGACCAGAAAGGTGACTAGAAGTCAGACAAAGGGACTAATAAGGAAAGGCCCAAGGAAGGAAGGAACTCGTTTTCTTCCAGGAATAGCCCATGTGTCCTCAAAATTAATGGGTAAGGAGTAAGAGGATGGGTGAAGGAGGTGGTGGTGGCGAGGGCTGAAGCCATTGAGGTAGCAGACCCTTCGGTGAACTCAGTTTTCACTGGCCTGCAGGAATCCAGAGTCGTGGCAGTGTTTGGGATTGTTTCTAGGAGGCATTCTGTCCATGTTGGTTGAGCAACTGATTTTCCTCAAGGCAGAGCCAGGCCTTTGCAAGAAGTTCTCACAACTCTCTCAGGTCAGGAACAAAATGGTCAAGTCCTGCCTCACCTACAATGTCTCCTGGGAGTAGCCAGCTCCCATTCGTACTTCATGGCTCTGCTTCCTCTGTGACCTCTCTGTCTATCTGGATGTTGACTCTTGTCCGACTTCCACATCCTCTGTCTTTTTCTCTATTTTTGGGTTATCCTACCCTCATCTGTTTCCTTGACTGTCCACCCAGCTAAACTATAATTTCCCTATGGCTACTTTTCATTGTGCTCCCAGCACCCAGAACAATGCAATAGGCCAATCTAATCTGTGTTTCTTGACGGGATGATAAGGTTTGTGTAGGAAGAGTGACTGATGAAGTCATGGACAAAAGCAAGAAATAACTCAAAATCCTCCCCACTCCCACCTCTACAATCTGTTAACGTAAGCAGATTGTAGAGGTTAACAGATTGTAGAGGTGCAGGGAATGCTCATCTGATGTGAAAGCATTATTTTGTCTTTCTTTGTATTTGTTTTTCTGACATCAGGTTCATTGGAAATTGCATACCATCATCAGGAACTCATTGGTAGGAACTCATTAGATAATCATTCAGTGTCTCTTTCTTTTCCCTCCATAGTTAATAATGATGTGATGATCACCGAAAACAATGGTGCACTCAAGATTCCACAATTGTGTAAATTCTGTGACGTGAGATCTTCCACCTGTGACAACCAGAAATTGTGCAGGAGCAATTGCAGTATCACATCCATCTGTGAGAAGCCCAACGAAGTCTGTGTAGCTGTCTGGTAAGGTTGCCATGGAAAAAACCTTTCCCCCCTTTTACAGCAACGCATTCTCATAGTTCATGGAATCCCAGTGTTTTCACACCCTAAGCATAGACACAACCTGTTTCCCTTTCTCTTAGACCAGTGGTCGGCAAACTTATCAGTCAGCAGAGCCAAATATCAACAGTACAACAATTGAAATTTCTTTTGAGAGCCAAATTTCTTAAACTTAAACTTCTAATGCCACTTCTTCAAAACAGACTCGCCCAAGCCATGGTATCTTGTGGAATAGCAACATTCAAGGGGCCAAAGAGCCGCATGTGGCTCGAGAGCCACGGTTTGCCAACCACTGTCTTAGACCATCTCTCTTTTAATTGTTAAATGTGGTTTCCAGAGACATTCTGTACATTTTCAAATTCACACACACACACACACACACACACACACACACACACGTCTTATCTATGTGTGTGACAGTATCAGATGACTTTTAATATTTGCAATAAATCTGGAGACCCTTCCTTCTATACAAGAGAAGAATATGACACTCTTCAACATTTAATGACACCCCCACACACACCCTAGTGACACCAGGAGCTTTGTTCTCCTGAGGCAGCCTCAGTCTTGTTTTAAGGAAAAAGAGGAGATGAAAGGTTGGCTGTTGGAAGAGGGGAGCACTTGTCAAAAAGGGGAAGGTATTCTGGAAGCAGAAAACTACCCATTCCTTAGTCAGAAGCATTGGCCCTGTCACACACACTACTACTGGGCAATACACTACTTTTCTCTTGGATCAGTGCTTCATAGTTCCCTTAGGTCAGATTCCTTCCTCTCTTTCTCTCTCGCTCTCCCTCTCTCTCATCCCTCAACCTTACCATACACACACACACACACACACACACACACACACACACACACACAGGCACTCATAAATTATCTGATTAATTCATAGTTATAGTTGGAAGTGTGAACAAGAGATAAGAGATCATCAAATAAGTCCCTATGATATACAAATGTTTACAGTCATTAATGAAATACAACATATTCTCATGATTTGAATTTATTTGAATTCAGGTTTTTAAATAACCTATGTGTCTCCTGACCATTTGCAAATGAGAATGCAAACCCACATATCTCCCCCTCCCTTTTTGGGAATGAGTCTTTTGGACTTTCTCCAAACCACATATAGTTGGCCTTGATAATAGAGCGATCTAAAAACTTTGCAAATTTCTGTGCATACAGGGGGGATGAACTTGTTTCCTAAGAACTTAAAGGAATGTTAACAGCACAGACGTGCCAGGACAGTTTACGGTAGCTGCCAGCTTCATTCATGTCCAGTTCTGAGAAGTGCTTTAGAAAAAAAGGATTCTGACAAAGCCTGTGTGAAGAAGAAAGGGACCAGCATTGGAAATTTAGAAAGGGTGCCGTCTGAAGAATGGCTGAGGCCATTAGACACGGTTCCAGGAAACAAAGGACGAGGGTTCTCTTGAGAGATACTGAAGGACATGATATCTCTTGAGATAGCTCAAGAAGGAAGAATAGTAGACACTTTCTTTGTAATGCTGAAGGGCAGGAGGAGGGTCTATGAAGTTTACCAGGGGATGGACGCATGCTCAGTACACACTTAAACATTTTCACAATCATGATTTCCTAACAGCAGAGCAGACTTCCTCCTCTGGAAGGGTCAAAGTTCAGGAGGGGCTGGGTGTCTGGCAAGTCTAGTGCTGGAAAGACTGAGACACCCGCCTGGTGACCCCAATGCTTCCTTCTTCACTACGCTTCTCCACTTACTGTCTGTAACTAAGTATCACTGTGGTGTGAGCTCACTTCTGCTAATGAATAATAAAAATAAATAAATAAATAGGCTTCTTAATTAGGATCTTTTTCTCTGACTCACAGTACAAGTCTGAATGATTGATTGTGAATCAAGCCAACGGAATAGAGGCTTTACTTTTCTCCAAAAATGGGAATGTGTGGGGGAGAGGAAGCTTGCTGTCTCCACCATGAAGTCAGTACTGACCAGTGAGCCTAAGTTTTACCTGTCTTGGTAAAGACACATGCGTGTGATGAGGAGAAAGGCACATGCAGTGGGTGCTGTGCTCTACCCCCCTCACTCTCCTTAGCACTCACCCATCGGCCTCTGGAGCTTTGGCTGCTAAGGGCTCACCCTAGTCCCTCCTGGGGACTCCCTGGCACTGAGCAGAAGTGCTGCATTGGAGTTGGGCTTTTCCTCAAGTTTGGCCCCTCTTCCTGGGCAGGCAGCATCCTAGAACTGATTGATGCAGGGATCCAATGCCTGGCCACTTGGCCTCAATGAGGGACAGCTCTGATGGGCCATCCCAGCATTACAGCTCCTGAGGGATCAGCTGTGTCCTTTATTTGCAACCTGCATTGTGGTTCAAATCCTCCCATGTGCAGGTCACTTACAGTGCCTGTCCAAACACCGCCTGCACAGAAACGTCATAGCCTCACTCCCTGTTTCCAGGGAACTCAAACCAGGGGGAACTCAAACCATCTGCATCCCAAGATAGTTTGCCAAGTGAGCTCTGCCGTCAGAGAGAACAGTGTTACAGGACTGAGTGGAGACAGCAGCTGAGGACTTCACCCAGACTCAAGCACTGAATTGAGTTTCCTCTCTGTGATTTTAGTTTCCTAGGAGCTGGGAGGTGGGAAGCAAGAGGCTCAGAAGGAGATGCCCAGTCATTGCCGAGGGGCTGTTCTCACATCTCCTTCCTCATCCCATTCCTTGACCTCTAGAAGCTTCACAACAAAGACACACCATGCTTTTCCCTGGGAGCACAGCGGACTCAGTGTGCCTTTCTATACATCTACACACACATGCACGCGTGCTTGCAACACTCACACACTCACAGACGAAGCTTTGGGGGAATGGAGGTGATTAGTTTCAAGGCCACCATTTCTGCTAAGACTTCAGGGTGGGTAGATTTTCCAATGGGCAAATTTGTTGTAGGATTGTGCCAAGCCAAGTATCATTGAGTTCCCTGCTACCACCCTGGAGGGAGGGTTCGGATTGTTGCCCCCTCTAAAGGTGGGGACCTGGGTAGCAAGGCTTTGCTTCTATTGCTCCTGCTGGAGTGTTAGTTCGAGGACCACTAATGTATTTCACAAAGTGGCACGCCTGCTTCTGCTGGAGTCACCTCTGGGTGTCACAACCATGACTCCATTCCAGCCTCACCCTCATCCCTACTCCCTTATCCCCTCCTTCACACACTGTTCTTTAGTGTCCTTGAATTAAGCCCTAAGCCAGCGGGGAATTCGTCAAGTTGCAGTTTCCCTATGGTTATGGGCCAAAACCACTTCTTTTCAGGGGAAAACTGTCTTAACAGCTTCATGCTTCCAGCCTGCCTCCCATTTTCCTTTCTATGAGCATTGAGTTTTTGGGGGGTGAGGGGTTGATTGGTGAGTGTGTGCTAGTGTATGCTGGCACATAGGCACTCATATGCATGCATTCAGAATCCTTCCCGGAAAAGATTATGCATGCAAACCTGACTGGACCTATCATGTCATTTAAGGCCTGATTTTCCCTCCAGATTTAGAGGCTACTGTTTAAGACAACAGCTATTTTGCATCTGAAAAGGGGAAGGAAGATGGGAGGAAGGTTATCAGACCAAAGCAGTTACCCAAGATGACAGGGTTTTGAGGGGAGCAGGCAGAGAAGCAATGCACTTCCAAGGATGCCATAGGTTGATTTTTGGCTTCTGCAGTTATAATAGGGGGTATTCATCATGTCATTATTAGATGCAATGTACACATAGAAGCGATTGAGCCTTTCATAGGACCCAAGCAAAATGTGAGAGAGTCGCTGAGCCCGTAGCTGAATTAGGCTCCCAATATGTGATGTAAAGGAAATCGAAATGTAGACACAATTCATTTATATTAGCGTGAACTATTTTACTAAACTGTAAGTGAAGGACATCTTACAGGTCTTTCCCATAGGTTTCAGTTCTTCCCTCTTCTGTTCCTTTCTGTAATTCAATTCTGGAAACTGCAGTTCTTTGTCTAGGAGGTATCTTCCGTTTTCTCAGCATAGCCCGCTGCTGACATGGAACATGCCTTCACTCATGGTGCCCAGCAAACATGGAAAGAGGAACCGAAACTACTTTCCCAGACATGCCCTTTGAGAAGAAGTTAGCTAGACAGACCCTGGTTCTGCCCAGTTACCTAGAGATGCCACCTGAGCCTGGCAGTACACTCAGGGTGAAAGGTTTGAAATCACCCTGGGGACTCAGCAGTCTTCTGTTTCTTATGTCTTCCCCTTTAACGACTGAATTAAGACAGTGTGCAAACTCCTCTGACAGGATAGCCCCCGAGGTAAACACTCATGTTTGTGATCATACGTGGGCTTGGAGAATAACCAAAGGAAAGGCTGAAAAGAGTAGATCAGTGTTTCCCAAACTTCTCTCATGATGAGAATCACCTGGTGGAGTTGTTAAAATACAGATTCCTGAATCCCAACTAAGAAGTGCTAAACTAGAATTTTCGGGAACATATAGGTAAAATTGTATACTTAACTAGTGCTCTAAGCATACAATTTTACCTATATGTTCCCAAAAATTCTAGTTTAGCACTTCTTACTTGGGATTCAGGAATCTGTATTTTAAATATATTTTATTGATTTTTTACAGAGAAGAAGAGAGAGGGATAGAAAGTTAGAAATATCGATGAGAGAGAGAGACATCGATCAGCTGCCTCCTGCACACCCCTCACTGGGGATGTGACCGCAACCAAGGTGCATGCCCCTGACCGAAATCGAACCCGGCACCCTTCAGTCTGCAGTCCGACGCCCTAGCCACTGAGCCAATCCGGTTTCAGCAGGAATCTGTATTTTAACAACTCCATCAGGTGATTCTCATATGAGAGAAGTTTGGGAAACACTAGAGCAGAGAAAGCACAGGGGACTATAGGCAACCTGTTTATGATGCAAAACCAGAACCTGCTGCCCTTCTGAGAAACAGCTTGATGAAGGAAATGCATTCCAGATTGCCTTTCTGTCCAGAGACCCCATTCATCCATTCTCTCTTTCTCTACTCTCCATCCCCGCTCCACCTATGAACCTCGGCACCCAAGGAGGAAAAACGATGAGAACATAACACTAGAGACGGTCTGCCATGACCCTGAGCTCCTCTACCATGGATTTGTTCTTGAGGACGCCACTTCTCCCACGTGTATCATGAAAGAGAAGAAAATGGATGGCGAGACTTTCTTCATGTGTTCCTGTAACACGGAAGAGTGCAATGACAACATCATCTTTTCAGAGGGTGAGTTTCCTTCCCTGGATGGCTTGGAGCCTGGCTGCCTCTGGGCTGATTTCTTGGGCCCCTGGTCTGCACTCTCACAGGACAGTTCCTCCTCCTCTGGCTGGTGCTGGAGAGTGAGTCTATGATCGAAGGGGGTGCTTATGGAACAACAGGGTCAGGTCTGGTCCTTCTGGAATCTGAATCCTAGGGTCCACATTAGTATTTGTCTTGGACCAATAGTTTCCTTTCCCCAAAGTACAGCATGACTGGAGAATGTGCTAGAAAAGCAGAGTCTGGGGCCCTAGCCCAGATCCACTGAATCAGAAACCCTGGGTCCTGGGCCCAGCAATCTTTGTTTTAACAAACCTTTCCAAGTGATTCTGATCCAGCTAAAAATTTCAGAACTACTAGATTGGAGGAGGCCTTTTGACACTGGAGGGGACTTGCTTTGAACAAACTCCAGTGGTTTAGTGTACATACTCCTAGGATTTGTCTGTCTAGAGGGTGGTTATTATTGGTCCCATGTGAGAAAAGAACTAAAATGCAGAGGGACAATAACGAGCCAAAGTTTACCCATGGAGACAGGAGAAGACTCAATTAGATTGTTCAGCATTCACTCAGCTTGAAAGAAGAGTACACGCTATCCCCTTAAAAAACCAACAACACCCTATTCAATGATTTTAATTATACAAGCAGTATATCCTTATCAAAAATTCAAATAATCCAACAACATGCAAAATTTTAAAATTAAAAGTACATTCACCTCATCCCCTCACTCCCAACTCATCAGCCACCCAATACTGAGAGCTTATGGGAAACACATGTTTCTCTGACATTCATTCCTATAATCCCTGCAGCCTTTCTCCCTTCCCTGTCTTCCTCCATCAATGCACCTATTCTCTGTCCATCCATCTACCTATCCCATCCATTCATCCATCTTTCAGGGCAAATAGTTGATCAGACTATAAATACTATTGGGCAACATTTTTTTTTTTTTTTTTTAGCCAACCATTTTTTACTTCTCCTTCTAAAGAAGATACACATACAGATATACTGCACACCTTTAATTCCGTAATATGGATTACCTTCTATGACCGACTGAATCATTTCCATGGGGATGATTAAGTTTGTCACTTAATGCTACAGTGAATACCTTTGTAAACTCATCTTATACATGTGTACTATTAATATTTCTGCAGGCTAGATTTCTAGAAGCCAAGTTTCTGGATCAAAGTTATGAACGTTTTAAATATAGTAACCACGACTAAATTGTTCTCCTTCTAAAAACAGATACCTGAGCATATGGATTTTCATTTACCATATCTAACAATTATAAGCCTTTTAATTTTGCCTGTCTTATGGTGAAAATGATATTCTCTTGGTTTTAGGAATGTAAATTCAGAGTGGGAACAGGTTATTAACCCAAAATAGATCTGATTCTATAAAAATTCCTTTTGGAACACAAGTGCTATGTCTGCACACTCCCAGTGAGTGTCCCAATGATGCAGACCCATCTCCTTCCCTCTGTATCCTTGACCTCCCTCTCATTCCCCTTTCTTTCTGTCCAGCTTCCCACTTACTCCAGCTTCTCAGTTCATGAAGGCAGGCATGTACATTTTTATCAGTAATACTTAAAAATCACTCCTCTCTCCTACTTTCTCATTGTGTAAACACACCTTTTTTCTCACTTTTCTTATGTCATTTGAGTTAGGAGGGAAGATATAACTAGATTAAATCACACAAAGGCATGTTAACACCTGATATCCTGGCTTAACATGTCACTGTTCTTCAAGTAGTTCACGTAAAAAAAAAAAGTTATTGTTGAAAGTATTATATGTCCCTTTCTCCCCTCTACTATTGACCTCTTCTAACAGTTCACTTTTTAAAAGAAATTCCAGGCTAAGCTAAAGGAATTAATATTTGAGAGTAGAATATCAGCTATGTTTACTCTCATCTGTGAAAGTATTTTTCTCCTTTTGCATACTGGCTTGCTCATAATGGAAGAGTTTATTTCATCCCCAAAAAGACAAAATGTGATAAATAACCTGCGAGTTGGCTACAAATAGTACTATAAGCTTTTAAGATATTAGTAACTTCAGTTTTCAGTGTGTTTCAACTCAGGTGATAATCACAGGCCCACATTCACATATTTTCCCTCTTATTCATTATCAGACTATTTCCTTATGATGTGAAATAATCACCTCAAAGGCAGTTTCTCACTGGACAACTCAAGAGATCCAGTGCAGCTGATGACTCAGATGTCTGGGTGATTTTGGAGTCTTTTAACACGTTTCCAGAGGTGTTTGTACTTAGTCTTCTAAAATGTTCTAGGGGTGTTTCCTTTTTCAAAAAACATCTCTATTCTCCACAATGAGATTATCCTCCCACTCCCCCGCCTAAACCAGCAACATTTTAGGATCCATTTCTCCTCTTTTTTATACTAAAAAATAAAAACTCTGGAAGTCCAAGCCAAACAAGATGGTGAACACAAAATCTTTGGTGGACCGTACACTGAGTTTTTTCTTTTTTTTTAATTAATATTTTTAAATTTATTTTAGAGAGGAAGGGAGAAGGAGAGAGAGATAGAAACATCAACAATGAGAAAGAATCATTGATCAGCTGCCTCCTGCATGCTTCTACTAGGGATTGAGCCTGCAACCCTGGGCATGTGCCCTTGAGCGGAATCGAACCTGGGAACATTCAATCTGCAGGCCAACACTCTATTCACTGAGCCAAACCAGTTAAGGATTCTTACACTGTATTTTTATTAGTATAATAGTACTCTGGTCTTATTGCCAGATTTCTGACCTGAAAACACAATGGTTGATAATTATTTACACCATCTGGTTTCTTAAGTAAGGGAAAAAAGGTTGGGCCATAGATTGTTGTTTTTATTTTTATTTTTTTAAAATATATTTTATTGATTTTTTACAGAGAGGAAAGGAGAAGGATAGAAAGCTAGAAACATCCATGAGAGAGAAACATTGACCAGCTGCCTCTTGCACACTTCCTACTGGGGATGTGCCCGCAAGGTACATGCCCTTGACCGGAATGGAACCTGGGACCTTTCAGTCCACAGGCTGACGCTCTATCCACTGAGCCAAACCAGTTTTGGCAGGTTGTTGTTTTAATTGTGGATCTTTACTTTCCGTGCTGTGATGCATGATAGCTCACATTCAGAGAGACTGTACTGTTGCTGTGTAAGATGCTCAGACCTTTCCATGGCATGGCCCCATTGAATCTCAGAGCTACCTCATGAAACAGGCTCGGGTAACATCCTCATCCCATGAATGAGAAAGCCAAGCTCAGAGAACGTGGACACTTTGTCCAGAATCACATGGCCAGTAGGTAGCAGAGGTAGGATTTATAATGGGTTATGTATGAACAAATCTATGAGGATCTTCTTTCCTTCCTTCTTTCCTCCCTCCAACATTCAGCGAGTCATTGAAAAGCAGTATATCCCCAGGCTCACCCTTTTCATGTGTTTGTGAGGAATGATGTTTATAAATGATGGCCAGCAGGATGCTCTCACCTTGTGAGGAGATCATGGCCTCCTCAATAAAATCATCTCCCCATCTTAAGCCACTTTTAAGCTGTTTGTCCTTGGGTGAACTAATTCACCTTAGACTTCCCCTCTGGAAAAAAAAAAATGCGGATAGAAATAGTGCTCAATTTCATTAGGGTTTTTGTGAAGATAAATGAGTTGATTCATGTAGGAACTTAGACTAATACCTGGCACAGAGCTAATTATTCAATACATTTTGGCTGTTACTATTGTTCTTCTGGATTCAAATGGACGAGGAGCTTTATAGCAACCTCGTGCCATATTCTCTTCCTTCCTGAAAGCCTCAGGTGAGTTATGTGTGATGCCATCCACCATAACAGCATTCCTGTGAATCTCAGTGAGGTGCTCACTGTCAGGAATGTGGTTGAGGAAGCTCTTTAGTGCATTGCATTGCTGACTTCCTGAGAATCCAGGAGAAATGGCTCTCAGCTCCGGGCCTCAGAAAGATGGCTCCCTCATGAGGACCTGTTTGCATCAGAACTTGGGGACACTTGGAAGCATGCAGAGCAGAGACCAGCAAACGTCTCTGATGGAGGAACTGGCAATAAACATGTTTGGCTTTGCAGGCCATGGAGTCCCTGTTTCAGCTACTCGGCTCTGCCATTGAGGCGGCCATAGACAGTATGTAAACAGTTGGACGCGGTTGTGTCCCAATAAATCTTGACTTACAAAACCGGGCTTCAGGCGAACCCCTGATGTAGATGGTCATGTTTTTTTGTTTTGTTTTGTTTGTTTTGTACTTCTCCCTTTGATACAAACTAGCAGAAAAGCTTAGAGTCCAATTTAAGTCATGTTCCTAGCAAGTTTCTGAGCACACAGTTGTATACTGCTACCATCCCTGCTTGCCTGTTTTCCTACATTTATCTCCCATTTGTCTTGGTCCCAGCTCCTTCTGTCTTCCTTTACTATTACATTTCTCCATAGGTTGCATGTGATTTTTCTTTTTTAAAAGGATGGAAATGGGGGAGGAGGATGGGAGCATCCTGGAAGAGGTTAATGGGGGAGGAGGAGAGAAGAGAAAAAGAACCTAGGTAATATTTTCAACAGTAAAGATGAAACAAAATAAAGATGGAACTATCAGCAACTCTATCAAGTACATCTATGCAACTTAGAAACCAGGACTCTGGAAACCGCTCTGACTCAGAGTTCAACGGATGGGGTTAATGGAGAAGCAGACCAGCAGATGCAGGCTGTCACCTGGGGTGTGCTCCCCGCTGACCTGCGGACTGCGTGCAGGCGTTCCGTTAGCTCCCTCTCTAACCGGAGAAGTCAAGGGAGAGGGGAGACGAGGACTTCTGGTAGCCACAGAGTTTCATTCCTTCCTCTCTCATTGTTGTAAGAATTGCTTTTAAATGAAAACAGCCTCTCTGGTTTGCAAGCCTGACTCTGGCAGGCAGACAAATGATTTTTTTTACAGTATCAGACACGCGGTTTCCTGTCTGTGTTTAACTTGCGA